TTTCATATTTATGTTTATTGCGACTAACGAGTTTGTGCAGGAACGTCAAATAGATAATGTTGTCTCTCCCAACTTAAGCACCTCAAGTTGTCTCTGGGTCATTTCCAAAGGCGCACTGTCTTTACCAAGAGTTCCACCAGGTCTCAGAGCACTATTTCTAAAAAGATCCGAATTGATTATACTTTGGATGTTATGATCCTCCAAGACTTTACAGTGATATTGTGTTTCGTACGACGATGATTAAGTCCTATTTGGTTGAAGCGTTCCAACTATCATCTGCGAACCGTTTTAATTTGCAAACCAAGATCAAGACGGAGTTATGATGTTTTAAGCGTATTGTGGGATATTTCTCAAGATTCGACCAGATATTTTCAATTTATTAAATGTTCAAAGGCGTGAAGTAAAATTTTTGTTGCAAGCACTGGAGTTCTGTTTGGTCCAACTATGCGCATTTGATTCTAAATTCGTAATCGAAGCTTTCTGGATCATAAGACATTTATTCATTAATCAAAGGTGGTTTTCATTTTATTACGAGACGTGAATTACAATTTACAAGTTTGCTTCATAATCCTAAAACTATTTCCTAAAGCTACCCTAAAGCCCGAAGCGTCTTCAAGAATATCCTTCGTCTTTGCCACCTAATTAACCTACAATGAAAGAGATGTTAGTGCAAGAATTTCAAGAGAAGTTGTATCGTTCTTTTCCGACCCTCAGGTATAGTGTCATCATCGGGCCGAAACTGAAGGGCAACAACCGGAGTCGCTACCAACTTCCGAAAAACCAGGGATAATATTTTTATGGCTCAGCAACATCAAGGCAACATTTGTTCTTAATGATTTAAAGTTTCTTCGCAACTAGAAGAAAAAAGGGCAAAGTCAATTCTATGGGTCAAAGTCCAAGTTTCCAATTCTGTCATCAGAAAGTCAACAAAGCCCAAAATAGAATATTGAGAAATAGATAAAAATCAACAACAGTCCACGTGGGCATCTTCACGGTAAACCCACTCGAAGGGTCTCAACAGCAAAGTGACGAAAGTCCAATTCCAGCGCCATCAGATATTTGGTCATTATCATCATCAAGACAACAAGTATTTGAATTCCCGAATCCAGCGAATCCATCATCAGCAAAATCAAAACAACAAAGATTAAAATCCATACAAATAAAGACAGATCAATACGAAGAAGGAAAGGATTAAAGATTCACAAAACCATTCCAAAATAATTCTGGACAACCCCTTTAAGAAATTTTATTGCATGTTTCTAAATTCGAGATAAAAGAAGAAGAAGAATGTTAGAAGTTCAAAGGAGGATTCATTACGAAGTCATAACACAAAAAGCTCAGATCGAAAAACATCATCATTGCAAAAGCTCAGATCTTTTTCGAATCATCATCGCAAAAAATCGAACCCACAAGTTCATCAAAGCTATTCCCAAACCAATCGCCGCCAACCATCAACGATACAACATTCAAGCCGCCAGAAACAGAAGACGGAGAGTTTCATCATTCACCATTAACAGACCGTGAAACAAAACCAACGAAAAGCAAACATCACGAATCCATAAATCCGTCAACACCACCGAACTCGGACGCTTTTTTTATCGTAAGCGGCCGCCATTTTTTTTCGTTTTGGGTTTCATCTTTTTTTTTTCCAGATCTGGAGAAAGAAGAAGAAAGTGATCGTATGCAAGAAGAAGATGGAGATTCACGGCGAAGAAGATGAAGAGAGAGAGAGAGAGAGAGAAACGGCGGACAATTAGAAATTTGGGGGGGGGGGTAGTCTTGTTAGGGTTTTGTTTTTTTTATTTGTTTTATATTGTTGTAATCACGTGTATGTGCACACACGCACGCTATGGTACACCTTCGATCATGGCCCTCCATCGCAAATCACACGGTCCTCGCCTGCAGTCCACCATAAACCCATCCTCCTGCGTCACATCTAATTCATCGCCCTACTTAACCTTTCATTGACCTAGTTTTTTTATTTAATTAAACTAATAATTATCTTTTACTAATCAGCTTTTTTAACAAACTAATAACCTTTTATTTTAAACTACCCTTTTTCTAACTAATTTATTTATCTAGTTAATCAACATTCACTTTTATTAATCAACTTTTTTCTAATATTTATTTAATAAACTCAATTTATTCACTTTACCACTTATTTTAATTTCATCAATTTAATAACCATCCTATTAAATAATATGAAATAATTTGTTCACATTCTAAATAATATAAGGACCTACTTTCATAATTTAAAAATAATTTGTATTTATTTTATTTACTAAATTAAAAAACTATGTTATTTAATAAGAAACTCTTTTCCTAAATAACTTGCTTTTATTTATTAATAACTAAAACTTTTTATATCTAAAACATTTTTTTCTCTAATTTAGTTCCTATCCAAATAATAACTTAATAATTTGCTGCCTTTTCTAATATTATTTCTATTTAGAAAACTCGATTAACTCACCAACTTTTTTTAAAACTAATTCACCTTTTAATAATCTCTCTTAAAATTAATCCCGCCTAAAACTTAATCAACTCCGATCTCACATTCGAATATTCACGTCCCGCGCTTGGCTTGTTTTAGCATTTTTATCTGTTTGTTTGGATTTATTTATCTGTTGCTTTTTACTTTACCGCTATCTTTATTTTATCGTTATTTATTTTATCGCATTGCATAATATCCAAAGGAGGAACCTACGCATAACTTAATAATTTGTGCGTATTGCATCTCATATGCATCATTATCCCCCACTTGATCCTTGATCCTTTTCAAGTTGATCAGTTTATGTTTAGTTCCTACACCATAAGGAGGACACTTTTTCTTTTACAACATAGATAAACCTTATTCAACTCAATCAATTATTCTCCCCATTAGAGAATTAGATGTTAGTCATGTTGACCGTCGAGAAATAAATCTCATGTCCTATAACAATATAATCGAGATATAAGATCTTTTCCGCTTGAAAGAGATAATGGCATACTCGTCGATGAATCCGAGTGCTTGAGCCCTTCTCTCAAGACGATGCAAAGACCATCTCCTACAAGTTGTGGTGGTTAAGTCGAGTGTTCTCCCTTTAGATGACGACTCGTCTTTTCTCCTAGAATCAATCAATCAACAAACCTTATCCCTTTGGAACTTTGACCAACAGTCAAGAAGTTCCTCAAACCCTTTAGGGGAACTACAAATACTCTGATTCCATTCCCGTCAGGATATGTAGGCACAAGATGCGACATCTTGGCGAGTATACTTAGAATTAAACCACTAGGTCTTTTATCCTTTAAGCAGATAACCCTTAGCAATAAACACATTAAAACAAGAGGTTCTTGTAGAGTACTACAGAAACTTATGATGCTAGCACCTTCCCTAAGTTTAACCAACCCCCGAACCTAAACTCTCTAACTTTTGCATTTGCATTGCATTGTGGGTAATTCAATCTTTTTCCCTTCATTTGGACAAATTAAAGACCGGTGGTGAACTAATGAATTAAGATTCAAATTAATTAATAATTTGACATCCAATTCTCACTGCGACAATAGAATATATTGTATTTTCTTCTATCTCCTATTACAAGAGAGTGTAATTTGTTCTCTCCTTGTATATAGAGAGAGGTGTTGTAATTTCTTCCACTTAGTGAAAACCTTTTCTACCGGTGCCCGTGGTTTTTCCCTTATTTGGTGAGCGTTTTTCACGTAAATATTCTGTGTCAATTTTCCTACTCCTTGATCTCTTATTTTGTGATATTTATCTTGCTACTCTGATATCCAACACAACATGCATACTAAATGAGCGCACTTTAAACTCAATTAGAAGAACCAACCTCGACCCTCTAGACGACAAAGACAAAGAGTTTGTGCACATAATTGAGTATTATGACTACAAACAGGTTTAACACAAAGGTTAAACTTATGCATTTCAACGAAAAAGACTTGATCTTACGAAAGATCGGAAAGACATAAATGAAAATTATGTTGAAAATTTAGTATTAAGATACCTAATCAGTTTTATACTTAACAAATGAACATATCAATTCAAGTTATTTAATTCAAAACAATGTATTTTTTTCTATTTATGTTTTTTTTTCTTCCAAAAACTGACTCCCTCTATCGCACTATGAATGACCCATTTAAAATAAAAAAGTGTCCTAAAATAAATGACTCATTTTAATTTTGAATGCATCTTTTTTTATTTTATCCTCTAATTAATATTATTTTTATCATTTTCAATACATGATAAGAATATTTTATTAAAAATTTCATTCTCTCTTTCATTTATTATTTTTTTAATTTGTATAAAATAATCAACCAGATAACTCATTCTGAGACCGAGGAAATATTATTTTCATTTAAAAAATCTTGATTATAAAAGTATCATTGTAATTTTAAAAAAAAATGCAAGGAGAAAATTTTCAAGTTATTGTAAGGGCATTAATTTTTCAGTTTATCCAAAGCACGCCTAATCTCACCAACAACTTGATCACATATTTGTCCATAATGAAAAATATCAAAATATTTTGTATTTAGTATGACTTATGCAATCATAAATCAGTTCTAACAATAGTATCATATATCTTCTTTCCACTCTAATTTTTCAACATTATCATCCCATACTCACAAACCAAACACAAACTTCCAAAAACTATTACAAGAACTAATATTTATTCACATGCATAACTATACAATATAGATTTCACATGTCATTCTAACAGAGTTGATAAGTGTCTTGTACTCATAGAGTATGTGGTTCTTCTATGTATCTCGTGACTCAACAGTGATTCAATTATAGTCCATTCATTCACATCAACCAAGAACAAACTTCCAAAATATACCTAGTGAAACTTTTTGGATTTTTCCTAGAAAAAAAACTCTAGTTTTATAAACTTATCTAGTAGGTATGCTTGTTTTTTCCATTCTTATTCTATTTACAATGCTAAACATTATTTATTTAGAAGCACATTGCAATTTTTCATTTGCCTCAAAACTCAAACCTTATCAGAATGTCTTGGTTTCTTACAATTTTGTTTCTCACTCTCACATTTGGTATTAATCTTTCAGAAGCAAAACATGTCAACAAGAAGGTTCATCCTTCACCTGTTGTAGTTGGTAATGTCTTCTGTGACACATGTTTTCAACAAACTTTCTCTCAAAAAAGCCGCTTCATTTCAGGTAATTCACCCTCCGGTCACTGTTATAAATATATATATTTTTTTTAAATTTATCGAATAATTAATGTATCTGATTTATATTTCATCTCTCTTAAAATGTTATCAAAATTTCTATAACCTTGTCCTTGTTTTGGTGTATAGGTGCATCAGTAGCTGTTGAATGCAAACTAGGAAAAACAAAACAAAGATTCTACAAAGAAGTGAAGACTAATGAACAAGGAAAATTCAAAGTGAAACTACCTTTCTTAGTGAAAAAAAATGTGAAGAGAATCAAAGGGTGTAATTTCAAGTTGTTAAGTAGCAATGAACCAAATTGTGCTATTGCTTCAACTTCCACTTCATTTTCATTAACCCTAAAGAAAAAGTTGCAAGATGAACACATTTTTTCAGCTGGATTTTTCTCATTCAAGCCTATAAAAAAGCCAAAATTTTGTGACCAAAATAAAGATAGTATTCAAAACCCTAAGAAAAATGAAGTTGAAGATTTTTTCTTTTTTCCTCCCAACCCTTTGAATCCACCTTTGGTTCCTAATCCATTTCAACCACCTTTGATTCCTAACCCTTTTACACCACCACCATTGATTCCTAATCCTTTTCAACCACCTAGTCCACCATTGATTCCAAATCCATTTCAACCACCAAGTCCACCACCATTTTTACCTAATCCATTTCAACCTCCTCCATCAAGTCCTCCACCTCTCATTCCAAATCCATTTCAGCCTCCACCATCAAGTCCACCACCTTTCTCTCTTTTTCCACCAATAGTAGTACCAGGTATAACTCCATCACCGCCACCACCGCCACCACCAAAATCAATTTTACCATTTCCTTTTCCTCCACTATTCCCACCTCCTCATAGCCCTGGCTCACCCCCTACTTCCTCAACAAAATCTTCTCCTTGATTATAAGCATATTATATTAATCATAGTTTTAAATTGAAATCTATAACTACAATATAACAGTTTTGGAGGTCTCAATGACAATATGACGGCCATAATGCAATTATATTTGTCTACAATAAAGACTGCAATTTAAAACTATGATGATAATAATGTATAATTTACTTTCTTTCATTATGATGAATATGTCACATATATAGTGACTGCTGCCAAAAAAAAAGTTGATACATTATTGATATGTTTGTAATTAGTAGTAGATATAAGAATATTGTTATGTTATAGTTTATTTTGTAATTTTTGTGTGTAGTTTATAGCCTTGAATTGCTTTATAATGGATTCTTATGATTGTGATATGAATATACATATTTCAATGATTGAACATAAGTTGCTAAAGCCTATATGACTGAACAAGTTAACTAGAAAGGTACAAGTGTTTGGAAGTGTGAGAATTTCCAATGATAGTTTTTGTTTATACAATGATTGTAATATGCATCTATGTGAATATGATGGAGGATAATGTTGTTAGGAATGTTATGCTCCTGTCTTGAGACTTGGCTTGGGACAGATTGGATAGTTAATCCTTAGTAAAGGATCATAATTTGTAATTTCCTATTCATGGCTAAAGTGGAAGATTAATCTTAAAAGCACCTATGTCTTAAAATAGAGCCTTTAAAAATGAATTTGATGTGCCGAAGCATAAGTGCCTAATAACTGCAAATAGTAAAGATGAGTGATTATGACACTATAAACTTTGTCATCTCAACTTTAGAGACAACAATCATCTAAATAAGAAGAACATGATTTCAGATTTACCTGAAATTCAGATTACTAGTAAAGTGTGTGAAGAATATTTGCAGGCCAAGCAATACAAAAATAGTTTCAGCAAGGATGCAGAAACAACATTTGAGCATCTCTTGAAGCTATATACTCTGATGTGTTTGTCATTATCCAAGTGGATTCAATCAGAGATAACAAATACTTTGTTACATTTATAGATTATTTTAACATAAAATTTTGAGCATACTTGATTAAAAAGAAAAGTAATGTGATTAATGTGTTCACTATATTCAAATTTATGATGGAAAGACAAAGTGGTCACTAAGTTTAAGATATTAAGAACTAATGGTGGATGAAAATATGTGTCAAGTGATTTTAATGCATTATGTGAAAGAGAAGTAATTGTTGATGAGGTGGTGTCAACATACACACCTCAACAAAATGGAACTACAAAGAGAAAAAAACAAGATCATCATGAACATAGTAAGTGGTGAAAAGTACGTTGAAGGGCAAGTATCTACCGATGAATTATGGAATGAGGTTGCGTCCATTCCAACATATATCTTGAGCAGATTTATAATCAAAAGGTTAGAAAGGGTCATACAAAAAAAAGAATGTTGGTCTAGTTTCAAATTAAGTTTGAGTTACTTAAAGGTATTTGGGTCTACTCCACATAGACATGTGTCTGGCCAATTGAGGAGGAAACTTGATGACAAATCAAGCTAAATGATCTTGATTGATTATCATTCAACTAGTAGTTACAAGTTGTTTGATCTTATGAATATGCAAACACTAGTTATATGTGGTGATAAATGAGGTAAAGGAATGTGATTTGAGCAATAGTGCCAAAAAGAACTTATTGAGAATCATGTATGAAGAATCAAGTGATGAAGTTGAACTTCATACCAAAGCAGGTACTAATAGGCCTCAAAGAATTAGAAATAAGAGTGTATAAAATATTCTGTTGTAAGATTTAAATTCATAATTAAATTCAAATTTATTTAAAATATTTGGATATAATAAAATGGTTATTAACCAATTTAATTATTAATAGTTGGTTATTTAATCCTATTTTATTTTTAGATTCAGTTATAATATGATTATTATACAAAATTTAAATGTTTCATTTCAATTATAATTTTTTAAGTAAAACCTAATTCTTTTTTGAAAAAAAAATATTTCGGAAAAAAGATAAATTTTTTGAAAAATTTTTTTATGAAGAAATAAATTAATTTTTGTGAAAAAAATATCCTTAAAGAATAATCTTATAGTTTGTTTTCCTTTGCGCATTTATCCTCCGCATAACGAAATAAATAAATTTATTTTTAAAACAAAATTGTGTAGATATGTGTGAAATATAAATTAAGTAATAATAAGAAAATTAACAAATAAGTATGAGCCATTTGAGTAAAATAAAGTTTTGTATGACACATGTTTGCTTACACTTTTATTTTAATTGTAATTTAGGGGTGTGTGTGTGTGTGTGTGTGTGTGTGTGTGTGTGTGTGTGTGTGTGTGTGTGTGTGTGTGTGTGTGTGTGTGTGTGTGTGTGTGTGTGTGTGTGTGTGTGTGTGTGTGTGTGTGTGTGTGTGTGTGTGTGTGTGTGTGTGTGTGTGTGTGTGTGTGTGTGTGTGTGTGTGTGTGTGTGTGTGTGTGTGTGTGTGTGTGTGTGTGTGTGTGTGTGTGTGTGTGTGTGTGTGTGTGTGTGTGTGTGTGTGTGTGTGTGTGTGTGTGTGTGTGTGTGTGTGTGTGTGTGTGTGTGTGTGTGTGTGTGTGTGTGTGTGTGTGTGTGTGTGTGTGTGTGTGTGTGTGTGTGTGTGTGTGTGTGTGTGTGTGTGTGTGTGTGTGTGTGTGTGTGTGTGTGTGTGTGTGTGTGTGTGTGTGTGTGTGTGTGTGTGTGTGTGTGTGTGTGTGTGTGTGTGTGTGTGTGTGTGTGTGTGTGTGTGTGTGTGTGTGTGTGTGTGTGTGTGTGTGTGTGTGTGTGTGTGTGTGTGTGTGTGTGTGTGTGTGTGTGTGTGTGTGTGTGTGTGTGTGTGTGTGTGTGTGTGTGTGTGTGTGTGTGTGTGTGTGTGTGTGTGTGTGTGTGTGTGTGTGTGTGTGTGTGTGTGTGTGTGTGTGTGTGTGTGTGTGTGTGTGTGTGTGTGTGTGTGTGTGTGTGTGTGTGTGTGTGTGTGTGTGTGTGTGTGTGTGTGTGTGTGTGTGTGTGTGTGTGTGTGTGTGTGTGTGTGTTTGTGGCTGCTAAGCTGAAGGCTGTCGAGGACCTGGTGGAGAAGTTGCAGATCACGCCTGCCCCTGCTAAGGACACTACGCCAGAAATGACATTTAGCAGCGCATACAAAGACAACGCTTTTAGAAAAAGCGCTGCTAAAGAGGAATAGAAAAAAAAGAAAAAAATTGATAACCAAAGACAGCGCTTTCTCAGAAAGCGCTGCTAAATGGGGGTCCTAAGACAGCGCTTCTAAAAAGCGCTGCTAAAAGGGGGGGGGGGTCTAAGACAGCCCAAAGACAGCGCTTTTTAAAAAGCGCTGCTAAAGGGGGGTCCTAAGGCAGCGCTTCCAAAAAGCGCTGCCAAATGGGGGGTCTAAGACAGCCCAAAGACAGCGCTTTTTAAAAAGCGCTGCTAAAGGGGGGGTCCTAAGGCAGCGCTTCCAAAAAGCGTTGCTGCAGGTATGGTCTACGAGAGCGCTTTTTCCATAAAGCGCTGCTATATGGGTTACATTAGAAGGTCTTTGAGAGCGCTTTTTAAAGCGCTGCTAAAGCTATTAAAAAGCGCTGCTATAGGTTTATTAGAATTAATTTAAAATACCCACCAGAATTTTTATGAGAAACAGAACAGTCATATTACGTTGTTTTCTTTCTTTTTCTCTGGCGAACAAAGAGCGTTGCCCTATAAACCACCATTGTCGTCCAACCGTCGCCGTCCGTCCAACCGTCGTCGTCGCCCTCGTCTGTTGCATTTGCAGCCGTTCACCGTCCCTCTGCTCGTCTGCATTGCATTTCTGCCATTGTTACGGTATTTGAAGTTTTACTCTGGTTTTCTTTTTTACGTATATTTTCACCATTGTTGTTGTAATCTTTAAGACAAACTGAATATGTTTTTATTATTTGAATGCAATCAAGTTAAGTCATTTTCTGTCATCTTATTGTATGGATATCTACATGTTAAGTCTCTCTGTTGCATGTTATATATTTTGTATTTTAATCTACATGTTAAGTCTCTCTGTCATTGTTACGGATATTTTGTATGTTTTAGATTGACAAACAAGAGTTTGGATTGAAACTAATGAATTGCCCTGGGAACTGTTTGTTGTTTTTATATATTTTGATTCAATGTACTGATAAATTCAGAACAAGAGTACAATTAGAAACAAGGTGAATAGAACAAATACACTACGATAGTGAGATATTGAAGGTTAGTCGATAGTGAGAGATGAATAGAATCAAAAAAGTGAAGATAGTGTGTAAAAGTTGTACAAATGGAGAATGAAAATTAGTGGTGAGTTTATATGATGATGAATGTTAGTGTTGTTAAGTGATGGCTAGGTGGTAGATAGTTTTGCAAGGTGAATAAAGAATGGAAGAGATTGATAAAAGTTGTACAAATGGAGAATGAATAGAATAAAAAAAGGAAGGGAAAAGTGAGAGAAAATGAATAGTTAATTAATTAAAAAATATTAATGTAACTTGATAGAGCATATTTTTTTTCAATATAGTTTGAAATTCCTATTTTTCAATATAGTTTGTTAAAGGTACTTGTAACATGTTTTTCTTATTTACACATGTCTTATTTATACCATGTTTTTGTTATTTCTTATTTATACCATGTTTTTCTTATTTACACATTTCTTATGTATATATTTGTTATTTACATATTTGCATGTCATTCATTTGATACTTTGGTTTTTCTGAATTACAGGTATATATATTATGGCCAGCAACGAGGAAACATCACATGATGGAAAACAAACAACAAAAGATGTGGAAGGCGATATTAAAAGAGGCATAACAATTATGAAAAAAATCATCCGTGCGAGAGATAAAGGAGTAAAGTATGATGTCCATTGGAATGAAAGAGATCAGTTAGTTGAGCCTAACGGTGCGTTGCTAACAAGTTACATCGGAGCACTTGTACGTTCGCAAGTTCCGATTACTTGCGATAATTGGAGAATTGTTTCATTACAACCGGCTAAAGATAAGATTTGGATCGAGATTCAGGTATAATATTG